CCCTGTGTTGGCCCTCGTTTTGTCTTCTGTGAAACGTTTTTGGGCCCAGATTGCTAATTATGCAGCACTGGTAAGCAACAGTCTGTCTCTAGCCGTTGTGAATAATATGAGGTCTTTGCTGGTGGGGGCCTTTAACGAAAACCTCTCAGCCTGTAACAGGTATTGTACAGTCCCTGGAGTTCATTGTTTGGACCGAAGCACTGGTGGAAAAGAAGGGCCTTGTTAACATCCTTTCGTGAAAGCAGTTGCTTGTTTCCCTTGAGCGGAATTGGAACCGCCACTCTTCCAGCCTGACCTTTTCCCACTGTGCGGCTCTGGTGGGAAATGCTGCTCTCTGAAGGCAAAATGGACGAAACAGATATTAAAAGCGCCCCCTTGAAAATGGGAGCCATTGTAACTGCCACCAGTCGAATTGAAAAGGACATTGGCTTAACAAAATTAGCGTTGGCTTGACAGTGGCTGAATGTTTCCAGTGTGTCCAGGTAGAAATCACCTGCTGAGCTGACAAATGTAGTAACGCGCCTTTCTTTTTTTATAAAAATAGTTGTAAATGTGTGCCAGCTGCAATGCATGTCTGGCTCTCCAATTTTTTAAAAAATACATAATATATTTTTGTCGCTATACAGTAGTGCCAACACTCAAGATGGTTTTCAGTAATAAAGCATTTCCTTGGATTTCTTTGCCTTAAACCACACAAAGACTTGCATTATGTAGATAGCTACCATGCCTGGGATACCTTTGTCCTCTTTGTAGGGCCAGCCAGTTTTCTCAAGCACTTCTTCAAGATCACCTCGTTAACACAGCCATTCCTAAATCAAATTCATCTCATTTTAATTATACTTCTGCTGTCATCTAACTTATTTGTTCTATGACCATTCTTCCTGATTGCACCTGGATTGGATATAGTGAAGAAAATGCTCTGAAGGTATATGATAGAGTTGAAATATCTGCTGGGCCCAATTCAAAATGCTAGTTGCTTACTTTTAAAGTCCTAAAATCTGTGGACTGAGTTAATCCCATGTAACATCGTTGTTTAAGTTATTCATCAAAATCCCTGTTGTGTATGCCTCCACCTTTTGGACGTTGTTAGATTGCAAAATCACACACACACACGCACACACACATTGTCTGTGGGTGGTCCTGCTATGCCTCTTCCATTACCCTTGCAAGGACTAGGCCATTTTTCATTAGGTATAGTGATTCTCTTGGCATTTCACATAAGGTACTCTCTTGTATAGACTTTCAAATTAAAGTCTTTGGCATAGGCACAGTGCTTTTTAGAAAATGAATATTTTCTTAATGCCTTCTGAAGGCATAACATATTTGAGTTGTGCTAAGGTATTATTTATTATAGTAGGCGTTTATAAAAGTAGAGGAGATAGCATTCCTACACCTACGCAGAGGTAAGTTCTACTTACTCCCATTTCACTTACGTGTTTACCAAGCTACCAGTACTGAATGAGAATCAGTGACCCAGTAATAAGAAGAGAAAGTCTCTTCTCTTGCACCACAGAAGTGATGAACTGTGCATAGGTACAGCTTGAGACGGTGATGAAACTAAGAATCCCACCATCTCACTGTGTTAATACCTTATGGTTCCTTCTATTGCTTGTTAATTGTGGAAATCATTGCTTTAAGATAATGCTGCTTTGCAGCTAGGGTAGGCTAGCGACTGGCTGGAGAACGGGATGTTTACACAAGCCTTGGATTAATATGACACAACTGGGTCTTCCTTGTATTTTTGGGGGGTGGAAGCGGTGAAAATCTATCAAATGTTTCTCTTTTCTTCCCTCACCTGCTTCCCTTGGGTTCCAAAGCCATTGTTTTCTCCCTCAGCCATAGGAATCTTTCTCTCATCCTTAAGCAGCAGATAAAGTGACAGTAATTGGTGACTGCAGGCGGGCCTTTTTTAGCTTTGCTGCTGCGATCTCAAAGTCTGCAGTGTGTTCAGTTAAACTTGACAAGAAAT